GTGTGTGTGTGTGTGTGTGTGTGTGTGTGTGTGTATGTGTTTCTGGGAATCTAAGCCAGGGTCTCCTAGGCAAGCACCCTACCAAACATTTATTGCTAAAACTAAAGTAGACTTCACTGACACATCATCTGGAAAGCAGCCTTCAAATCACAAGAACATGCTTCACTTCACACTCCAGTACCTCGCTTAATGTGGCACATGATTACTCCCCTTATAGAACTAGAAAAAGTCAGGCTACAGTGTCATGCCTCTGCATGAAGAACTTGCCATGGATTATTTAAAATCTCTCTTTGGGAGAAAAAGAAAAAATCGTATTACTCAAATTCTGGTCTGGTGCTTGAGAAGAGGGGTGTCATGGCACAGGGGAAGAGAGCATGGGCTCTGGCATTTGACTCACTGCCTTCCTGCTGCTACCCTTGGGCAAACACTTTTACCTCTCCACGATTAATTTTTCCCATCTGTAAAACAGGGATAAGAAGAGTCCCTACTCTGCAGAGCTATGAAGGTTACTGGGATCATCACAGGGAAAAGGCCCTTGCCTATATACTGATTAGCCAGTACAAGCTTGTTGTTATCCAGAGGTCTGAGTTTTTTCACAAAATACCCAGTCCCCAGTATTTTGTTACAGCAATATAAAATGAACTAAGACAACTGGTGTGGCCCCAAAACATACCATGGGGCCCATGGGAAGGCTACTAGGTGGCAATGAAAGAAAGCAATGTCAGCACACAAAAGGAGGAAGGAAGATTCTGGTAACCTGGATGTAGCCCATTTCTGATTCTGGTCTGTGACAGAGTGAGATCATGGCTACCAAGTTCCCTTCTTTTGACTGGGTCCTCAGAGAAGATCACTAGTGGAAAAAGGCTTCCACTTAGGATTCCCATGGTGATCTCAGTCCAGTGGACAGAGCCAAAAGTGGACCTACAAGAGTGGTCTGACATCTGAGCACAGACAGAGCTACCATGAAGGCAAACACACCATGCGTACGTGTCCTAGACCAGACCCCATCCTTCAGTACCAGCCCCAGTGGCAGTACAGTGATACCTACTTCCTTTGTCCACAGTCAGCCAAGGTAAGAAGTGTCCACCTACAGTGGGCAGGGAAGGGTGGTTGGCAGGTGGCAGGCAGGATGGCGAGCAGGCCAGGGGTGGTGGTCAGAAGTAATAAGCAGGGCAGCGTGGTAGATGAGTATGGTAGGCAGTGTGGCAGGAGCTGCCTTCATCTCAGATGGTTGTGGGTAAGTTAACACGCTCAGCTTTGGCCTACCCCCAATTTCTAGCTGGTGCCTGTAGCCACTGGCCAGAAAAACCTACCCAGAATGCCCTCAGATATGCTGCACATTCTCCCCGCTTCATGTCTGTATCCAGTGTCCTACTTCCTCTACCAGCTTGACCTGATAGGGCCCAGCCTGGGCAGGTAGGAGGTATGGACTGTACTCACTGCTAGTGCAGTGGAAATGGACACAACCTCTGGTATAACATATACCAGACTCCTACCTTTCCTTCTGTGGCACACCAGTCCTATTTATTGGAACTTACCCTAATAATGTAACAATACAAAGATCTATTTATAAAACATCTTCAGTTAGGAACAATCATATTTTTGAATAGTAATGTTTAGTGACAAAGAAGCTAAAAAAAGGGGCTTGGGATTTAGCTCAGTGGTTCCACTGCCTGCTTTGCAAGCGTAAGGTACCGAGTTCGATCCCAAGTACCAAAAAGAAAGTGATAAAAAGCTTAAAAAATACCCAATATTAAGAAGAAAAAAATGTATTAAGACATATTTTTAAAATATAGGTATTATATTTAATAGGAATCAAAGTAAAACTAAAAAGAAACATATCAAAACCTTAACAGTGTTCCTCTCTCTAGGTGGCAGGAATGTGGATGTGGGTTTCTCTTGCTTTTTTCTTTTCATTTATTGTGTTCAGGACACCTATCGTCTTCTGATAAGGTCACCTCTTCTTCCATCAGTGGCAGCCCTATAGGACAATCAGTCCTTATCTCCTTCCTGGGGTTTCATTGCTGAAGACTCATAATTCCAGAAGAGCGGCCAGCAGCTGTACCTAGGTACAGCCCTGAACCCCTAAGTGTGGGTCCTACACTCAGCCCATGGACTGCACAGTCTTGTGGAACACTTAAGAGTGTCTCTCTTCTGGACTGTGACTCCTGAAGCAATGAAACCCCAGGATGTATGACAACGCCACTCCAGTGTCTTAGAAGCATCTTCACTGGACAGACTGCCCCCTGCCATCTAAGGCCTGCTTCCTAGGTCCCTTCTCTGAGCAAACCAACATCCTTCTGATAGACTCTGCTTCTGTTAGGTTAAAGCCCTTGGTGTGCTAGAGAGAGAGTCCTGACTGACACCCATCCCTCCAAAAGTTGTACTGGCTCTGTATCGTCTCCACGGAGTGTGAGCAGCCTCAGGAGGAGACAGCAGCTAAAGGTGAGCTCAAGGACAGGTAGACAGAACCAGGCCCTGCTGGCTATGTGATCATTAGATTCAGCAGATAAGCTGTCCGTCTCACCTCTCCGAGTCTCAGTTTCTCCATCTTGCCTATCAGAAGGGTATTCCTGTTTTACAGGGAACCACTGTAAACCTTGGAAGTAGTAATAGAAGGACAGTGCCTGGCATATTAGAGGCATCTAGTAAGTGGCAAGCATGCTTACACCCAGCTGATCGATGGGTCTCTCCATCCAATACCGAATGCTGAGTGCCAGAGGTAGTGGCTGGCCCTGCGCTGGACACTGGAGATCTACAACTAGCACCACCGTAACAGTCACTACCCTCATGGACTTCAGTCTGGTGGGAGACAATGAGTGAAAAGCCAGACACAGAGACACAGAGCCATTCCAAATGGTGCTGAATGTCATACAGGAAACAAGACCACTAGATATAACAAGGTATAGAAAGAATATACTTCAGAGACTGTGTCAGGAAATGTGGGGAAAATGTCTGAGTGCAGCAGCAGGGGAGGAGGATGTTTGGAGCCTAGGGTGGCTCAAGAAACAGAAAGTGGGGAGCACCATGGATGGAGTGAGGCAGGAAGACCTGAGGGGAGGGCCAGGAGTCTCTACACAGACTTTTTAAAGGGAAGCCATTAAGACAGGGTTGACATGATGTGCCTTGTGAACTGCCTCATCAACTCTGTATAGAATTAAAATGAGCTAACAGTTTAGGGGCAACATTAAGAGCTTTGGGAAGAGGGGCCAGGGATTTAGCTCAGTGGTTCCACCACCTGCCTCGCAAGTGCAAGGTCCCGAGTTCAATCCCTGGTACAAAAAAAAAAAAAAAAAATGGAGTTCTGGGAAGAAATGCTGAGCTGGCAGCAATAGGTAGAAAGATACAGGTGAGTGACAGATTTAGAAACAGAATACAGAGGACACTGGACTCACCTTCACACTGACCAAGGAACTCATGTTCACTGTGAGAGAAGGAAAGACACAAACGGACACTAGTTCCCCAGGACAGGCACATCTGGCTGGAGTTCTCACTGAGGGTGGGGGCGCAGATCGGCACAAACACAATATAAATCCACAGGAATGGGTGGCACCTTACACCAGTAAATATCTTTCATATCCATGAATTCCAAAACCTGTCATATCCATGAATTCAACCAATCACACAGAGCAGACATATTCAGGAAAAATGACTGCATGTGTGTTGAACATGTATATTCACACTTTTTCTTGTTACTACTCCCTAAACAATGCAGCGTAATAGCTATTCACACACTGTTTACATTGTGGTAGGTAGTATAAGTTATCTAGAGATGATATAAAGAATATGATGAGACTTGAGCATCTGCATATTTCGACTAGGCGGAGTCCCGCAACCAATTCCCCAAGGCTTCCAAGGGACACTGAACAGCCACTTGAGCACCCAGTGCAAATCAGAGCAAGCAGTCATCCCACTGCCTACTCCTGTTCTCAAGCCTAGGGCTACATCACAGTCCACTGGAAAGCCGGTCAGATCATGCTGCCACTACCAGAGTTTTTTATTCTCAAGGTCTACTGCAGGGCTGAAAAATATTGATTTTTATTGAGTCTCTAAGGGAGGCTGACCATGAAGGACCTCATTTGGAGACCACTGCTTTACTAGAAAGAGTAGGCCCAGCCTTTACTGCTCACACCATGCCCACAAACTGTGGACCAGACATTCCACTTACTAACCTCATACTCCTGGAGAATCCAAAGGCACTGAGCATTGGTATAACGCCAGAATAGGTATACCAAAGGCACTTAGCATTGGCTGAATGTGTAACTGCAATTCCTAACATGGGGCTGGAGTGAGGGGAGGAAGGTGGAGGTGCTCAGAACTCATGCCTGAGGCTTGGGAGCAATAGAGCCCTGGGCTGGAACTCTATCCTTCTGGGCTGGGGAGGAGCTGCTCAGAAACCTTGGGCAAGAGCCACGCTCTGAATCCCCCTGCCAAATCCCCTCTTCCTGGCAACAAGAATTGTCCTCTGGGTTTAGAAAGTGCAGCTTCCCAAAATCTAAAAAAATTTCCATCTCATGTCATTCTCTTTTTTTTTCAATAAGGACAAAAGGGAGAATATGTAGCAAAATGAACTTTAACCACTTCTACTTTATCAGGCTTTTCATGTAAAGATGTCCAACAACTACCAGCCCCTCACCAGACATGGTTCTCTCTTCCTTATCTCTGCCACAAGCCTGCTCAGGGACAGGTACATCTGAAAAATGCCCCAAAATGTTAATGGGTGCTCATCCCATCAAGTTGATGTCACCATAATGAGGACCCATCCAGAACGGCATGGGGTCTGAGAATGGTTCTGGAGCAATGGTCTTGGGGAGCAGGAGCCACTGGCACAAAGCCAGGGAGCGAGGGCCAAGGACCTGGCACTATGAGTCTGCACCTTCCTATCAGGTGAGCAGAGCCATCAGCCTTTATCTACACCTCACAGGGCGGGGGCTGTCCAGAGGAAGATGCATACCTTACCTTCTCATAGGGACAGTACTTGAACATCTTGATGGGACTTGTGCAGATGAACACGTCAGTGCTGCCAAGAAGAGAAAGGACAGTGAGCCTGCATCCTGGTGGCCATCACCATGCTATATTCCCATCACCTCCTCACCCTGCCTGCCTGAGCCCTGTCAGGGGTGTGAGTGTCACATCTGTTATGGGAAACCCACTGTTTTGCATATCTCCGCACTAGTGATGTTGCATTTCTGCCCCAACCAATGGCCTTGGGAAGCACAGGGAACTTGCATCAGTTTTTATAGGCCAGATCCAAAAGGTTAGTAGGGCTCAGAAACCTTCTCTACAATTGCAACAGGGAAAACTGGAACAAAGAGCAAGAAGCATTTGGGGACAAGCACAGCATTAAAAGTACAGCACACCCTTTCCCCAGTCAGGGTTCCAAGCTAAATCCACAGGGGAGCTACTCTGACCCAGAAGGGTTTCCCAGGTGCTTGCTTCTCCACACACCCAAAAGGGCCCTGGAGCCATCACAACCAAGCCATCTAGCCCCAAACATTTGCAAAGCTGGAGTTCACCTCTAGCACCAGCACCTTCTGGCTCATCAAACTGAGCTGCAGAAGATGTGTTTGCCCAACCCTCTCTGGCAAATTAGTCCCTAGAGAGTCTTGTGTGAGCCTGCTGGTCCCTGGGGTGCCACTTATGCCCTTTCATTACCTGAAGTCTTCCAGCTTTTGCACTCCCTCTGCCTACCTGGCTATGCCCTTGCACCTGCTATGTTCCCCAAAAACTCAGCCACTGCCCAGTGGTGGTTCCCAGCTCTGCCTCTACAAGGACTGCCTTTGACTCTTCCTTGCTGTGGTCATCTACCATTGGCCAGTTACCCTCCCTCCCATCCCCCATCCCTGGTTCAACACCATTTTTTCCTCCTCTGCTCTTCAACATTCTAGTGACTGCACACATGCACACACATGTGCATGCATGCAAATCCAACACATACTCTCAGTTCCTATCCCTCCCCAACTCCAAATACCCTTCATTCCCTTTTCCCCATCCCCAAAACCTCTCCTCCCATCACCACATGGAGCCTGGCCTCCCTGGCCCCCAACCATGACAAACATTCTAACGCCCTGCGCTCAATTCTTTAGTCTTTTTGAGACTGCAGTTTTGCGCACTCCTTCTCCTCCAGCTTGACATACTGGCTCTGCCCCAGTCACACTCTGGGCCATCTCTATGTCACTGTTTGTGTATCTCTTGCTCCACAGAGAGCTGTTTTGCCAGGCTCTGAAAGAATCCACTACCCAGCTTCTCCCACCTATACCCAACCAGCCGAATATTGCTGGAGACCCCCCCCCAAAAAATCTCATAATCTTTGGACCAGCTTCACTGAGTGGTCTCAAGGCAGGGTCTTATGGCTACACATCAGGCCACTCTCCAGGGCTCTGGAGGTGCTCACTTCAGGGCCCCCCGCACAGTCAGAACATGCCTTCCCTGAGCCTCACTCTTCTCACCAGGAGACTCCCGTGCTTCTCCTCACATACCATCTGCACTGTCCTCTCCCTTGCCACAGCAGTCATCCTTACTCTTGCTCAGCCTCCATCTCCACTCTCCCCTCCATGCACCTATCTGCTCTCATCTTTACGAGGATTTTACCCTGCAAAATTTTCTCCTCTCCTTCTCCTCAGTGACTCCGCATTCAAACATGTCCCAGTATCTCCTGTCTAAAAATTCCTTATAGATACTGTTTGAATGATGACGAGATTACATCCTGATAGACCCACTATGAGTTGAAAATGTCATAAGTACAGAATGTATTACACCTAACCTACTGAACATCACAATTTGGTTGTCACTGACTGGCTATCACTTTCATACCATCAACAAGGCAAAAATCATCAGTAGAAGCCTGGAATGGTGGTGCATGCCTGTAATCCCAGACTTCAGGAGGGTGAAACAGGAGGATCACAAGTTCTAGCACAGCATGGGCAAATGAGTCACTTAGCAAGACCTTGTCTCAAAATAAAAAATTAAAAACAGGCTGGGATTGTAGCTCACTGTGAAGGCTATGGGTTTGATCACTAGTGCCACATTTCTTTTGGGGAAGTCTTAACATTTTGAAGCTGGGCAAGGAGGCACACACCTATAATCCCAGGATTCTGAGAGATTGATGAAGACTGATCACAAATTTGAGCCCAGATTGGGCAACTTAGCAGCTTAGTGAGACATTGCCTTAAAAAAAAAAGAAAGAAAGAAAAAGAACTGGGGATATAGCTTAGTTTTTAAAATTGAATCCCCAGAATAAAATAAAATCATCAACAGAACTATAAGTTAGCAGCTATCTTCATAACACAAAACTATGGCCTATGCTCCCTCATTATCACTCATACCCATTCCCCTCACAGTATAACATACTTCACAACTGCCTTTGCTGTGGACTCTACTTATCACCATCTGTCCCTTCTTCAACCAACTCCCACTTGGAATCGGTCCTCTCCTGACTTAGTCACTTTCCTTGTCAATGAAATGCAATATGAGATACCCACAGCTCAAAGAAGGAATTTATTTTGGCTCACATTTTCAGTATATGCTTGGATGGCTCCAAGGCAGGAAGGGCATGGTAAAAGGGCTTGGACAAAGGAAAGCTGCTCGTGTCACAGCAGCCAGGAAGAAGAGAAAGAAGAGAGGAGCTAGGGGAGAGATACACTCTTCCAGGTCATGCCCCTGACTTGCCTCTTCCAACCAGGGTCTACCCTGCAACAGCATATTTAGCTATGGATTCATTAGTAGACTAACTGCGGAGTACAGCGTCCACATGATCCAATTACTTTCCAAAGCCCAACCTGAACATATGGGCCTTTGGGAAATATTGTAGATCTAAACCATAACAAACCCACTCCACAGAAATTGCTAATCGTCATCAAGGACCCTGGTACACCATGTGCACAGCACATCACAGCACTCTTACCTTTCTTACCAGCATTTGGCCCTCTGGCCGTGTCTGTTCTCTCTGTCGTCCCGCCATACTTGCTCCTCACCAGCTGCCCAGCCTGGTCTCCCATGGTCCTATCCCCTCCTGGTCTGTCAGGGCTGGTGCTGGGCCCTCTGAACACTCATTCTGTACTCCCCATTTGGGAGGCATCTTCCAGCCTGAGGCTTCAAGGCCAACTATGTATGGACACATCCCAATCTCTCCCTAGCACCAAGTATAAATTCTTCACAGCCTTTAAATGGCTCCTTTTGGACACTTGGCCCAAACGAACACTGGATTTCCCCAAATCCTAGGATCTGTCCCTTTCCTGGTCTTCCTTCAGTTAATGACATTAACATATGCTATATCAGCATGCACTCAAACAAACAAACAAAAAAACTAAAACTCATCATTTTTTTTCTACATCCATCACCAGGTCTTTTCAGTTCCACCAACTTCTCTGCATGGTGTCATCTACCCCTGAGCTTCTACAACTACCCACTGGTTCCCCAACTTCCAAGCCTGGTTCTTTCATATCATTCTCCACCCTGTGTCTAGATTATCTTGTATTTATTTATTTTTGAGACAGGATCTCACTATGTTTCCCAAGCTGACCTGGAACTCTGGGCTCAAATAATCCTCCTGCCTCTGCCTCAGCCTCCTAAGTAATTTGGACCAGAAGTGCATGCCACCGTGTTTAGCTCAGACTGATTATCTTTCTTTTTTTTGTACTGAGGATTGAACTTGGCACCTTGCACTTACGTGGCAGGTGGCGGCACCACTGAGCTGAATCCCAGCCCTCAAACTGTTTACCCTTAAAAAGCTTTACTGAGGTATAATTAAGATGCAATAAAGTATACACAAATAGTATAAGTCATGGCACATGTATATACCCATGAAGCAGAGATCACCACAATAAAGATAATACTCACACAGCTTGAATGTAACCCCTTGACAATTTCTCCCACCTGCCCCTCCCTCCTCCTCCCCAATCCTGGGCCCCAAGCAACCACCAATTTGTCTTCTACCACTACAGACTAGATTGCATTTTCCAGAATTTTATAAAATGGAAACAAAGAATATGTACCTCTTTATGTCGTCTACTTCTTTCACCTAATAAGACTATTCTATTTATCCATTTGTTAAATAAATGCATCAACAATTTGAGAAAATTGATATTTTAAAGTTTTATTGAGATATAATTCATATATCATAACATTTACCCATTTTGAGATACAATTAAATAAATTTTAATGCAGCTTTCAATCATCACAATCTAATTTTTTAATTGAGTTTATTGGTTCATTTTAGGTATACAGTACAGTCACATTCATTATTGGGATCTTGTACCTTTACATGACAGGTCTTGCTTCTCATTTCACAATCTAATTTTTAGGGCATTGCTATCACTCCAAAAAGAAACCTGTATTCTTTTAAGCAATCAATACCCATTTCCCCAGCCCCTGGTAACAACCAAAGGTGATTTCTGTCTCTAAGAATTTGACGACTCTAGAAATCTCATATAAATGGAGTTGTACAATATATAGCCTTCTGTGTCTCACTTCTTTCACTTAGCATAGTGTTTTTAAGGTTTATGCATATTGTAGCATGAATTAGAATTTTATTCATTCCTTTTAATAAGTGAGTACTATTCCTCTGTATGGATATACCACATTTTGTGTATCTTTTCATCTGTCAATGGAAGCTGGAGTTACTTTCACCTTTTGGCTAGTATAAATAGCACTGCTACCGAATAGTTTCTCTGGTGTGAAAAACTATAATACTACATAAGATCCTAATGAGATAACTGACAATGTGAAATAGGAAGAAAAGGGGTAAAGGTGTAGGGGAAGTGGGAAGGGTAGGGGAAAGGTAATAAGGGAAAAGAAAAAATATGAGAAAATGAAAAAATGGAAATAAAGTGTAAATGGAGAGGGGAGGAGGGGGTGAAGGAGGGCAGGGACAAGGGGAAAAAATGAGAACCAAGACCTGTCATGTAAAGGTGTAAGATCCCAATAATGAATGTAACTGTACTGTACACCTAAAATGTACCAATAAACTCAATGAGGAAAAAAAATAAAATAAATAGCACTGATGTGAACTCTTGTACACAA